ACATTCCACGTCCCAAGAGCCAGCTTCTGTAGCCGAGGATCAGACCGCCAGGGTCCCCTCCTTCGGCCACCGCCCATTTCACAGTCAGACAAAATGATTTTCTCAATTTTTTTTCACATCTTGTCTCTCATAGTTGAGGTCTACCTATGATGTCAATTACAGGCCTCTCTCATCTTTTTAAGTGGGAGAACTTGCACAATTGGTGACTGACTAAATACTTATTTTCCCCACTGTATATAATTATTGTAAAAACACAGCCCAATGAGTGAAAACCATATATTTTATTTGGAGAATGCAGAATGCAACACAAAAAGTCTTTCCATTATGTATTATTAACCACAACAATTAGGTTTTTCCAACAGGAATTATATTTTGAAATATACAGTTCTGTGGAAAATATAGCATAATAAATAAAGGGTGTTTTCCACTGAGGTTTAAAGTGGACTGAAAAGGCAGGAGAATAGAGGAAGTGGTCTAAAGTTAGACAGTCTTGCTGCTTTTTAGTGTTTACCCTTTAAATGTTTAGGGGGCAAAAAACTGCRTCATTTCATTCAGGAGCTTTAACTCCAGGTTTTAATCCTTTTTCAGTAAAATTGTAAACTTTGGGAGCTCTAAGAAAATGCGGGTGTAAAATGCGATGTCCACATCAGGTTTCAACGATTCAAAGATAATTTGGAATAAGTGCTGCATATGAAAATGTCAACGTTGCATCATCCTCGGAGAGATCCGTTGAGCCAAGACGGATCCATTCCCACAAATCGTTAGTCATCAACTGCAGCACAATGTGTTAGCTGAAAACAATTTGTCACCCGCCTTTGTGAGCAATGACACAAACTCAAAGGAGTCTTAAATCAGCTTTAATGTCAGAACTCCTCACCAGCTGCAGCCAGCAGAATGTGATGTTTGATACTGAGTAAACAAAACCAATATGTGCTGTTAGAGAGTTCTGAGCATTTTTTTTGTCTTTTCCAAACAAAAACACAGGTAGCCATATTTTAGTCTTTGCTCAGACTGCCGTACAAGTTCCCACTCATCAGAAACACATGTCCTCTCTCTTTGAAGGGGAAGCTTTAATTTTGTTGCTCATTACAAAATCAACCAGTGACTTTTTTTTTTCTTTCAAGGGCAGAAGTTGTCAATTAGAGCTCTAATAAGCTTACGGAAAATGGCCTGTTTTTGGGGCGGGGARGGGCAGGAGGAGGTTTTTTTTGGATGGAGGTCAGACGGCGGATAGTGGAATACAATTTCATGCCTTCAAAGTGAAACGCGTGACTTTGAAGTTAGAAATGCAGCCACTGTTTGGGTGGTGGTGCGACTGACTGTCAGACAGAGGAAAACACACACTTTTCTTTTCTGCTTCGTACATTCCAAAGTCACTCACCTTGTTGTTTTCAGCTGTGGCTTCACCATTCATCAGGTAATGAGAAGTAACCATCTGCAGCAGCTGCAGGTCTGCTCAGGCTTTTAACCCTTTGTCAAAGAAATACAGTGCCCCCTGCTGCCACAGCTCACTGAGAATTTGGGAAACTTTAGTGATTTCAAATTAAAGAGAGAAAAACATCAGGTATTTTTTTGACCAATTCGTCTCACATAAAAACTCATAAATATGGACCCCTCAATACCTCATTCTGTTTTTAATTCATTTATTTTTTAAGCATAACGCCTTTAGGCTTATTATTACTATTGCAAGTCTAATTTAACAATTAGTAGATGCATTTGCATAGAAAAATGAAGCGTAGTAGATATTAGAACTTTAGGTTAAGAGTTGTATTTATTTCTCACTCTTGGTTTTCTGTGATTTATTTTTCTTTCTTTATTTTTTATTATTATATCTGGAAATCTGACAGCTTGAATGAAGATGTTATCCAGCAAATATTTTATCTAAAAGGTAAACGTGTGTCCCACTAAATCCCTAATTCATTATTTTAGGTAATTTATTTCAGTTTATCTTTTTTTTTT